GTGACGGCAGGGGAAGTTGAAACGTGCAATCGAAAATCTATGAAATAATAAATAAAACTAAGCTACACGGTAATACTTGACGTCTTCTGTTATGTTCAGGATCAATTCATCAGGCCAACAAACTAAAGAATTTTTAAAGACGTGAAATATGACGCATATCTACCCAAAAGTCTCAGTTTATATTCTTCAGGAAAGAATCGACTTAAAAGGAGCAAAAGCTTGAATGGCCATTTGTCCAGCAACGGACACTCCCATTTTCAGAAGTAAAGTGCATAGAACAGAATAAAAACAGAATGAGAAAGCCTCGAGGATCTCACGTCAGGTGATTCGCATAAATCAACAACGCAGAAAAGCCACCACAGGAGTAATCAGTAATGTCACTTTAATCACACATAGTTGTCTAATGTACAATTAGGAAGTTGCTTCGACCGTTTCTTTGGTATCGTTGCCACTGAACTGATTCACGGTGATCGCTGCAGAACACTCTAATTTTACCATACACCTATTTACATATACACCTCGCACCACTCGTATTCCACATATCGACACGAGTATCGTTATCGTCGCTACTACTCACGAGAAACAAAGCACGTTGGTACGAAGACTTCGTGCACAACGTCTACATACCCGATTTACGAACTACTGTAATCTCTTCTTTTCGATTAGTAATTCTTTGTCGTCGCTTGGTCCGCGAGTAAATTTCTTTGCGCGATTGGCAGGTCTGAGTGACGAAAACCAATTTTCGATATCACTCAGACTAATCTACAGTATTATCGTACGTGTATACAGCTAACGTTTACTCGGTAATTGTTTATATAAATACTTAAATGTTACTGCTACATAGATGCCTCTTTCGTATTGCGGAATATTGCAAACAGAAATGGAAATAAATTACTCTTTGCGTGACAATTTCCTTGTCGATATCGCCTCGATCGAACAAACGAAAAACGTTTCGACGCTTTTGGAAGTTAGTTTATGATGCTCGGAATGAGATTAAGCTATCGACTGCTCGGTATATTTACAGATAATAATGCTTTCCGGCTACGCGGATCCTAAAATCGGATCGAACGAGTGTACCGAGTATAAAACGGGCTCCATTGTTGGCACTTTCGAGATTGCATCGGCTGCAACTCGTATTGTTCGTTGATGGACGAAATGGTTGTTGCTGTCGAGTCGTGAGCTCGAGCAATGAGAACAATTCATCGATTCGTTTCTTTTAAGCGTGCGGGGTGGTTCTAGAAAATGCAAGCTACAACCAGCAAGTGAAACTCGTTTGAATTTTTAAAACCATCCTGCGCACTGTTTGTTTAAGAAAAAAAAGATTCAGTCAAAGGAAATGTGAATGAATGTTTGACACATTCATGCTAGAAATTGTACGATGTATATTTTTGTTGTCTTAGTGAACACGTATGTAATTTCGCGTATGATTCTTCAATGAAGATTGGACGTTGGTCTGGCAAGTTGTGTCACGGACCCAATTTTGAGATTTTAAATTGCGTTCAGATCACGTGGCTGTGGTACTAATAAAATACCGAAACACTAGAAAAACTATAGTACCCAAGTACTACAAGTATCAAGATGCAAAAGCACTCGATATTTCGGAGCATTAAAAGTCCCAGACAAATTCATACATCGTTCTCACTCTTGTAAATCGATAACGCCATCGCATCTCAAACACTTTTACCATCGCTGCAATTTCGATTCCAATAATATATAAACGACCAACCAAACGATACCCTCGCAATCGATTCTCGATCGACCAGACCAATTCGGTACCAACAAGAGCCAACCACAAGCAAGCCTTTCTGCTCTATTGCAACCATCCTCCTCTGGACCGCTTATACGTCGCTGAACGAATAATTTCCTTAGCTCATACTTACCGACACATCGAAGAAAACATGCTGCCTACTGTCAAACTACAGTTTCTACGATAGCTGCGTTACGCGAGTACCCACCGGTGCGTAGAGGATACACATTTAATTACGCCCCGAAATTACTGTATCACGATGTCTGCGAACCACGTCCGCCATTTATGGTACACCCTAAACGCTTAATTCTGTATACATGACTACCTCTACTGTTTGTAAACGTGATAAATACAAAGTGTGTTCAGTGGGTGTAGAATGTATTCGTACATCGATCAATTTCCCAAAAAATTGTTATTTGAAATTGTAATTTATTAACTTCTTTTCTATAAACAATGATATTCTATATATTCTCGGAAATCTCTAGAATAGATATAGTCTAAACAACAATTACTAGTTTATATACTTTGCGAAATTAACAAGAAAATACGACAAATCGGCAAAAATATATAAGCAATAAATATTCGTACGGTTCTTATGGCGAACCATTTATAGTAAAATTTGTAACATAAACACATTAATTTATTACTTCGTACGAATTAGAAAACATCAAATTTCCAGTAAAGATGTCTTAAAAAATGCTCGAATAAAGGAATGGAGGAAGATCCCACCCCGAATAACATCGACATAATTTAATGCCTAGAAGAGTTGCAGCAATTATAAAATCAAAAGAAAATCCCACGAAGTATTTAAGTATTTATAAAGTAATGTAAATTTCGTTTCTTTTACGAAGTTTTACTTTAACAATTGTACGAATACTTATTGCTTCTATATTTCTATCGATTTATTGTTTCTCTCTTATTAATTTCGCAACTTATATGAATAACTGATTTTTTTTAGTACTGTATCGATTCTAGAGAGTTCCAAGAAGATGTAGAATATCACTGTTTATAAACAAAAGTTAATAAATTATAATTCCACATAGTTTTTTTGGAAACTGATCGGTGTACGAATTCTTTCTACATCCACTGTACGTATAGCCACACAGGGTGACGTTGTGTGCTATTTGGCAGTATCTCGTGCTCCACTCGTCTACCTGTCTCTTCTGCTCTCTGTATCGCCAACGGTGAAGACTGTCGCCTCCACCCTTATCCTCCCCCCTATTCCCTTACTACCATCTCGATTAATATCGTGGCATACTATATACATACATGCAATCTTTGGTTTCGCTACAGATCACTATCGCGCGTGTGTGTGCACAGAGTACCGTATCGAATGGCACCAACACCTTTCTACGGCTTCTTCCATCTTCTTCATCCCCTTCGACGTTAGCAAACGAACGATTACTCGAGTATCGCTACGGTTCGATATCTACGCGGTTAGGCCTGCCCCATCATCGAAGAACGGAGCTACGATGTTACGCGTTGTTCAACGATATTACTACGACACCCAGTGCCATCTTGGATCAGGTCGAACTACACTATCTTATTTCGTTCTCTCGAGGTCCTCTCGAGTCCTTACACTTAAGGGGAGCCCCATCGAGCAGACTCCATAGAGTATTTAAATATATATTATATTAGATAGATATTTGGTACCGCTTCGTGGTATAGTTTCGTTTCCTAATCGCGAGGTTCGTCGAATTAACACTCGAATAAATACGCTAGCTACGGAGCTTCTCTCCGTTTCGATTTTTCTTCTTGTAATAATACAACGTGTGAGTGTGTGTACGAGTTTGTTCGGTACTATATACCTGTGTATGTTTCTATACGTAACGCTTAAACGTGGAATACAAAAAAACGAGATAAGGGCTTGTCAGTCTTTGTGTGTGTGTGTGTGTGTGTGTGTGTGTGTGTGTGTGTGTGTGTGTGTGTGTGTGTGTGTGTGTGTGTGTGTGTGTGTGTGTGTGTG